CCTCAGCAGCACCAATTCAATTGGTCCTCCCTTCAAAGGCACGGGAAGCCCTGGCCCCACTGCATGCAGGGTGGGCTGGAGATGTCTGGAGCTTCTTCTCAGGAAGGTGTCTTCTCAGGGGTCTGGTGCTGAGGAAGAAGGAGCTGTGCTCTGGAAGCCATGGTCAAAGCCAGAGCAGGTGGACAAACTCATGGTCTCTCTCTGGGTGTCCCAATCAGTCTCAGGTTGGAGTCCCTGCTAGAATGACAATGTCTGATGATAGATGGGCAGGGACAGGACACAGGCCAAGGAGGAAGCAAGCCTTTTCTTCAGGCTCAGGCATTCCGCAGGGCCAGCTGGGCCACTTGCAGGATCTAAGACCCATGGAGAGAGAGGCTGGGGCTAAGAGGTCTGTCTGCACTTGGCAGTTTGAATCTCAGCTTTGGTCATTTTAGGTCAATGGTGCAGTTCTCAAGGACTTTCATGATGTGGCTTTTTTCTGGTCATTAAAAAAAAAATGTGCCTGTCTGAGAGTGCCTTATGTCTTCTGGGACTCCCCCACAGCCAGGCCCCCTGTGCCGGTAGCTGCAGCCCCAAGGCCTGGAGGAATATGCTCAGTCAGAAGCACATTAGAACATGGCCTGCAGACAGCCCCGCTACCTCCTGGGGCCTTACGCTCTAGTGGGCATTGACATGGGCCAAACTCAAACAATATTGGGAATGAGCTAGGTCACTGCTACGTACTGACCCAAGGCAGTGGGAAAAGCCTATTTTAGATACTGGAACACTGAGGCACAAGGAAGCTGAGTGATCCTGGTCAGGGACTTGGGGGCCAGCACAAACCCCTGCCAGGTGACAGAGCTTCACAGGGTCTGCCTGGCTATCCCAGCCTGCTATCATTCGTAGAGCGCTCCCCTCCCCCTCGCCTCCTGGAGCCAGTGCCCTGGCATGGGGATGCCCACTCGTGGCAGACACACCCCTAGGTTTCAGATTTTGTTGAACAGACATCTCCCTGCTCTTTTTAAGACTAAATAAAGACATATAAGAAATATGCCAAGAAAAACGTGGGGTGAAAGGAAGAACGGAGCCAGTGAGAAAAATGGAATGTGGCTGGGTAACTCATTGCTTTATCAGACTGGAGACTCAGCGGGACAGCAAGCCTTTTCTGGAAAGAGGTCAATGCCTTTGTTATTGGCATGTAGCTGGGAGGAAGTCTGTGAAATTATACAAAGCAATTAGAGGAAAGACGAATCTTGGCCCACTTTTCAAAATAAGGGGGGAAAACCCACTTAAGTCGGGCTAGGTTAGAAAATGCAACCAGATAAGAGATGATCTCTGACTAGTCTTTGCAAAACAGCCATTACTGTAGCTCTGAACCTGAGGAAGCAGGGAACAGAAGTCTAAGGAGGCTAAGGCACTCTTTCCTGATTAGGAGGGAAGACACACGTACAGGACTGGCTTGCACTTCTCTGGCTCGTTAGGAGAGAGCCTGACAGATCCTGAAGCGGAGGGGCAGTTGGGAATTCTGCAGCAGCCCAGTGGAGGGAAAGTTCAGGGATCTGCAACTCAGGGAGAAAGCACAAGCCCTGCCAGGCTTCAAACCTGTGGCAGCAGAGGTAAGAGGCGTGAGGACTTTTCGTATCAGAGCCACAAACAACTGGGGGAGGCGGTGTCTGGGCGGGGGCCCTGCGGGTCTTGAAATGAGCAGATTGTCTTGGGGCTAATAAGGTTTATTTACAGTTATTCATAATACTGAAGTTTAAATGGAAAAGTAGTAAGAGGCGTGAGGACTTTTCGTATCAGAGCCACAAACAACTGGGGGAGGCGGTGTCTGGGAGGGGGCCCTGCGGGTCTTGAAATGAGCAGATTGTCTTGGGGCTAATAAGGTTTATTTACAGTTATTCATAATACTGAAGTTTAAATGGAAAAGTACCAGCTGTACCCAGTTGTATCTGGATTTCTTTATATGGTATCGAGACTTAAAATGCTTATAATTAATAATCAGTTGAGTTAAACAATACTTCTACTGTTATTTTAATAAAGTTTATTTTCATGGAAAAAGCACCCAAGGTGGTAGGTGTTAAGACCTTGTCTTGCCTCTCTTCTTTAGGCTTATAAGTCTAAATTGGCTCACCCAACCAATTCCAGGGCACCTGCTAGAAGGTCATTTGGGACTGTGGTCCTGGTGCCTTTGAGGGTTTGGAAAACTAGGCTTGCAAACCCACACTGGAAAATGCCACCTTTATAATAGCCACATTTCTCCAGCATGAGTCTCAAGGCAACAGATCCCCAAAAGTTGGCTCATCCAGCCACTAGGGTATGCCCTGCCCTTCTGGACCTACCCTTCAGTTCAGATTGGGGTGGGTGTCTCACGTGAGAAGCCCACCCCTTGAGGAAGATTAAGGGGAGACGGGTCTTCCTGCCAGATATGCCCCCACACTCTGTGACCTGCATTGCCCAAGGCCTGGATGGCAGGTACTCACACTCTAACCTCCTGGGCAGTTTTCATCTGCCCTGCTCTGCCGGTGGCTCCAGAGAAGTGGAGTAACTTGTCCAGGGTCACACAGCGAAAATGCCGGGGCTGGGTCTAGAGCCCATTCAGCCAAAAGAACAGAAGCTGCTGTGTGCAGACATCGGGCCAGTGTTTTGCTTGAAAAGGCCTTTCAGTGTGACTGAGCCAGGACTCCGTGGCTCCGGTTCAAATGCCCCACGAGTTGCCGGGGCTCCGTGCTGAGCAAGTCAAGAGGAGGTGAGAAAGTCACACAGACCGTCAATGCCACCTTCCCTGAGCCCCAAAGTGGGGGGGCCAAGTAGACACTGTTTGTACAGATTTGGGGTTTCGCACAAGACTGGAAGACGTGGCTCTGCAGATTCTTGATCTTTCACTGGATGATCCATTAGCAACTGCTTACCTTCCCTGAGCCCCAAAGTGGGGGGGCCAAGTAGACACTGTTTGTACAGATTTGGGGTTTTGCACAAGACTGGAAGACGTGGCTCTGCAGATTCTTGATCTTTCACTGGATGATCCATTAGCAACTGCTTCACGCCAACAAGGAACCGCATCCCAGCGCACGTTACTGTCCCAAAGCCATTGGAGCCCTGTCCAGCACGGGCCCTCTCCTTAGGAACACACTCACCTGCACCGAGCCTGCATTCCTCTCCTCCCCCTCCCTTCACATCTGGTTCCCTGACAGCTCAGCTCCCCGTCCCAGCTTCCCCTGCTGTGCACTCTCCAGGCCCTGCCACCTCCTGCCTGGACACTGCCTCGGCCATTCTGCTAAACCTGCTGCAAGAGCCTCAACATCCCCAGGCCTGGCCTTGGTCTGCATGTGTTGGCAGCCCTAGGAGGTCAGCGGGGATCAGGGTCCACATGGACAGGAGTGCTCATCCCTCTGCCCTGGCTCACGCTCACATCCTCACAGTATTTGTTCCACTGCACCAGGTGGAAAGCATGTGACAAAACCCCTGAGCGCTGTACACGGAGACCATCTGACCCAATGGGTTTACTCTTGGGTTTAGAGAGGAAGAATCCTCTTTCCAACTGAGTCAAGCAGCGCGCTCTGTGCTTACACGTACTGACTCGCTTATCCTCACAGCAACGCTATGGGTGGGAAGAAAATAGTCTTCTCTCCATTTTCCAGATGAGGAAATGGGGGCATAGAGAGGTACTTGCCCATGGCCACAGAGCTGGGAGGTGCTATGGCCGTTCCCCACACGCTTCAAGCTCTCTGCCTTCTGGGCTGAACATTTCACTGCTGGTGCAAGAGCTTCCAGAGCCCCCTTTTCCTCTGCCAGAGAGACTGCAGTGGCTGTCCCCTCAGCCTGGGCTCTGGAGTGAGGAGGCGTGGTCAGGGCTGGGCAGGTGTCTGGACTCCCAGACCCCAGGTCTTTCCAGCACACCTGGAGCCTTTGGTCTCAAGGTCCTAGGAAATAACCCTATGCCAGGCTGCACCGTGGCTCTCTTCCTGGTGTCTGTCTCTGTCCAGAGGGGGTGTCAGGTCACACCGTCTTATGGAAATCCACAGGAGCCCCCCCTGTAGTCCTGTACATAGGCCCCTTCTCTCCTTTCCAGTGAAACCTTGTGCTTTGGAAACCATCCTGTCACCAACCCTAATTCCTTCTTTTTTTGCCAAGGAGGGCAGAGCAAGGCCACTGGCCCCTCTGTGTTCTATACAGACAGGAGAGAGGGAACAGTGCCTGGGCCTCTGCGCCTTCTAACTCAGGACTTGGCCACCCCATGGGCTGTGTCCATTGCAGGCATACCCCAAGTGTCTGCCCTAAGACACACACGCACACACGTACATATGCATGGCATACTTGCCCACGCAGGGTTGTCAGGGCCAGTTTAGGAGCCAAATAACAGCAGTATTCTCCTAATTTATAATCCGTCCTTTCTTTGAACCATAAACAGTACTTTCTAGCCCAATCACTTCCCACCCACCGCATTTGACAGACTTGGTTCTGGCTGCTAATAAAGAGGTTTCAGCCTTGAAAAATGAGTTTGCTACTATGGAGGCAATGAAAAAGAATGTGCTTTGAGGTCTCAAAGGAGGTTCCCAGAGTAGGGTCCAGACGTGTTCCTGGGCAGTGGAAGCCAACACCACCAGAAGCAGTGCTGAATCCTGTGGGTGACTTGGGCAGAGGAGAGTGGCAGGGTGGCAGTGACACACTCAGACATGTGTCTGTGTGGCTACCCCTTCTGCATAGCCTTACCTCACCCTTCCCCACTGCCTGGACACCCGTGGCCTTGACTGTCCGCTCATTTCCTACATGGGCACATGACTTCCCCAAGCAGAAAAACATCAAGGTTACATGTTAATTTGGTATTCCCCAGATGCCCAGCACACTGTTGGGTGGCTGGAATCCACTGGGGGTTATGTGGCAGTGACCACTTGAGGGACCTCTGACTCACCAAAATGACCAAGGTTGAAACCAAAAGGGCCACACGGGGCCTAATGGTCTAGGTAGCTCTGCAGAGCTGCTGAGCTATGTGCCTTTACTGAAGCAACGCACATCAAGAGTTCAGAGCTTTGGCAGGATTTATTGAGAGTGGGTTTTATATACCAAAAGGGTGCTGGGCTTTTATCTGTCACTGGCAGGTGTCACGGCTGGTGGTCTCTTTATTGCCATCAGTTGGTTGGCCAGACTGCAACAACCACAATAGCCACAAGCAGCAATAAAATCACCATTATCATCCCTGGAAAACAGAAGCAGAAAATACCTCTTTTAATGATCCATACCAGAAAAGCATCATGCACTTCACTGAGTATCTTCAGAGAGGATACTGGATACGGTTCTCCAGTGTGTCATCCCTGAAAAACAGAAGCAGAAAATACCTCTTTTAATGATCCATACCAGAAAAGCATCATGCACTTCATTGAGTATCTTCAGAGAGGATACTGGATACGGTTCTCCAGTGTGCGGCTCCCTCCGTGCCTTCAGTCACGCTCGGGTGGGGGCTGGGCTGGGAGCAGCCTGGCACTGCTGCTGCATGACTCTGGCTCTGCAGGCTGGTAGGTGCAGAAGGCTGGGGCTCTTGGAAACTGGAAACAGCCCTCACCACCTCGAGAAGTGGGCCAGCGCTCTGATTCCAAGACATGCGGGGACCTGGGTGGGGCCAGGCCACCCACTCGATACTCAGGCAAGGAGGACTGTGCACACTAAGCCCCTGGCTGTAGCTTGTGTGTGCAGCTTAGACCACAGGGGGTTGTGGCAGCTGCTGCAGACGGCCTCCCTTGTTATCAACTGGATCATGCATTGATGAAGCATTGACAAAGCAAAAGGCTTAAGAGTTTACAAAGAAATAGTAACTCTAGAACCCATTTTCTCCACTATCCACATGACTTCACCTTGTCTTCTTGAGTCCAAGATCCTTATGCCTCCCATCTGTAAAAATATCCCCCAACAGAGGGACTTTTCTTCATATATATTTTTTTGTATTCATATTTTTCAGTTTTATACTTCCTAACCTTCTTGAATGGAAAACACGAAGGAGAGCACTGGCCCTCACAACCAGTCTGCCCCCCGAGCCCAGCTCTGCCTGCCAGCCCCACACAGGGTCACGAGGCTTTTGGCCACCAGGACTGCTCACTGCAGACTGAGGAGCTGGTTCGGAGAAGGGCCGGGATCCACACAGTCCAACTCCTGACTCTCCTATGTTATGCAGCCACTGGGGCATAACTGATCTCAGTAGCTAGACTGTACTCTAGGTAACCACTGGCCACATCTGGCTATTTAAGTCACAATTAATTAAAACTGAAGTTAAAAAATTAACTTCCTCAATTGTGCCAACCATATTTCAAATGCTCCATAGTCACATGTGGCCAGTGGCTACTGTATTAGTGACAATAAAGAACATTTCCACCATCGCAGAAAGTTTTATTGGACAGCACTGACACAGTATATGGGTTTTGGTTACTTTATTTAGTGCTGTATCCCCAGCGTCTACAACAGTGCCTGGAGACTCAATATGTATTTGCTGAATAAATGAATAAACGGCTGCTCAATGTCTTTAAACACTCACTTGACACTTAGTTTCTCACATCAGGAATTCTGTTTTCCCTTCTTCTTGAGTAGGTTTTGTTAAATTATATTTTTTCTGGGAAACTGCCTGTCTTTTTCTGAGTATTCAAAATTACTGGCATAAAACTTTTTGCTATATTATCTAACAAACTAAACACTATACAGTCATATACCATAATACAACATTTAGGTCAACGATGGACCACATATACCACGGTGGTCCCATAGGATTATAATGGAGCTAAAAATTCCTATCGCCCTACTGACCTTGTACCCGTCATAACGCTGTAGCACAAACATTACTCACGTGTTTGTGGTGATGCTGGTGTAAACAAGCCTACAGCTGTACAATGTGTTTTGTAAAAGAGTTATACAGTTAAACAAAATTTTGAAGTTTATAAATTTTAAAAGTTATAGCTAAGGTTAATTTATTGAAGAAAGAAAAATATTATTTTACAAATTTAGTGCAGCCTAAGTGTACAGTGTTTACAGTCTACAGTTGTGCACAGTAATGTCCTTGGCCTTTGTATTCACTCACCACTTGCTCACCGACTCACCCAGAGAAGCTTCTAGTCCTGCAAGATCCGTTCATGCTAAGTGCCCTGTACAGGTGTGCCTTTTAAAAAAATCTTTTATATTGTTTTTTTTTTTTGTACTGTATCTTTTCTATGTTTAAATACACAGATACTTACCATTGTGTTACTATTGCCTATAGTATTCAGCACAGTAACATGCGGTACAGGCTTGTAGCCTGGGAGACAGAAGCGATCCCAAACAGCCTAGGTGTGTAGCAGGCTACCGCATCTAGGTTTGTGTAAGTACACTCTATGAAGTTTGCACAACAACAAAATCACCTAATGACGCATTTCTCAGAGCACGTCCCCATCATTAAGCGATGCAAACTGTACTGTGTCTACGTCCCTCTTTTCATTTTTAACACAGCTAATTTGTGCATTCTCTTTTTTCCTTGACCACCTTGCCGCAAGCGTGTTTCTTTTTATTACTCTTTTCCAGGAACAAGTTTTGACTTTGTTGACCAACTCATTTCTTCATTTTGTTTTATTATTTTCTGCATTTATTTTTATTAATCCTACTCATAAACTTTCTTTGGGTTTACTTTGTTATTCTTTCTCTAACTTCTTGAAAGTTAGCTCATTCATTTTCCATCTTCCTTCTAAATATTATGCCTCTAAGCCTACAAGTTTTGATATTAAAAAATTCCATTGTTGTTAGTTTCTAAATTCTAAATATTAAAAAATGTTCAACAATGATTTCTTCTTTGGCAAAATTCCATTGTTGTTAGTTTCTAAATTCTAAATATTAAAAAATGTTCAACAATGATTTCTTTGGCCCAATAATTATTTAGAAGCGTGTTTGAAAATTTCTAATTATACTGAAACATGCTTATCTATCTATCTATATATATATTTTTAAACTCTGAGGTAACGCACTTTATTTTGACATGAAAATATCTGACTTCTGCTGGTGACAAAGTCACAAGTACTACTAATATTACTGCGGTTTGTTGCCTACGTTTGTAATTGAAGGAAATACTAAATCTCAATTAGATGTTAGTGAAAACAAGAATGAGATTTGATTTTCCATCCAAGTTCCTGAATTCTATCCACAGATCCTCAGGGTTCAATGTAGATCAGGTAGTGTAAATTTTAAGCCCAACCCACATAAGCACAGCCTGCCCACAGTTTTGAATATTGAAAAAGGACTTAAAGAATATATGGCAAGCTTCCACGTTATCTCCCGGTGATACTGAGTGAATTTTTTCTAATACAGCCTCTTTCTCTGATGAGCCAGTCTTTTGAGAGTCCTTCCTTTCGGGGATTTAAGGTCTTCACGTGGACACGTCTTCATGTGGACATAAACCTAAGCCTCTACCTCAGGAATCTGCAGACTGCAGTCTATGAACCAAATCTGGCTGTGGTCTGCTTTTGTACAACCCATGAGCTAAGAATGGTTTTTATATTTTTAAAGGGTTGTCAAAAAAAGTAAAAGAAGGAGATGTGACGCACCATCTGTGGTCTGCCCAGCCCAAACCCTTTATTCCCTGGCTGCTTCCAGCAGTCACCGGCCCTGCTCTGCATCACGATGACTGATAACGACCCAGCTGCAGCATCAGTTCCTTCACTTGGGCTCTGGTTTTCAATTTTCTCTTCGTTTCTTTCATCTAGGGATTTCCTTTCTTCCTTGTAATTCCTTGTAAATTCAGTTGTGTGTTAACATTTGGGTGTGGGGTTATAATATTTTATCTAGCATCATTTCAAAATGCTTGTAGTGAGGGTGAGGGTGTGTGTGTGTGTGTGTGTGTGTGTGTGTGTGTGT